CCAAACTCCTTGGCATCACACGCTTGCAACCTGCTCAAATTAGTATTGGACTTGCTAACCATACTATAGCCAAGCCAAGAGGAGTTGTTATTGATGTTCTTCTAGAGATTGGAGATATCAAGATCCCGGTGGACTTTCATGTCATGAACATTCAAGGAGGATGTGACACACCATTGATACTAGGCCGACCCTTTTTGGCCACTGCTGGAGCTGTCATGGACCTTCCAAACAGGCGAATGTCCTTAGCCAATGTTGACAAGACAGTCTTTTACAAGACCATACCATTCATCTCACCAAACAAGCTGTCTTACCTCATCACTGCCCAAGGCCGCCCAAGAGAACCACCAGACCACACTCAAGGTCACAATGAGACAAGAACTAAAAGACTATGTCTCAGGCCGTGCCCTTACCCCATCTCCAACTAAGAGATCCTATCAGTCAAGCTAATGACTCAAAAAAGCGCTGCATGGGAGGCAACCCATGAAAGGTGTTTTTCTTTACTTTTCTTTTCAATTAGTTTTAGTTAATGTCTAGTTTTGTTTTGAGTTTGGATACAGGAATCTAAGAACCACACAATGGTAAAGAAGATATACCACAAAGAAGAATGTTCATAGTTGGCGCGACTTAGATGGCCGAGCAGAACCTCTCCACGCTCGCCCATGTCCTCTCAAGCCGCCCAACACACCATCCCATCTCATTCCATCTGCATCTCACCCATCCCACCTCACCACACTTGCATTCCATCACTACCATCATTCCACTGCATTCACCATTCTTCAAGTAACAAAATCAGGTTACATCTTTCTTTTTACATTCACAACCACTTATTACCTCTTTCTTTAACTCCCTTAATTGGATTTTCTTTCACCGGGACGGTGCAAGTTAAGTCTGGGGGGATTGTCGGTACTAATGTGTTTGTTCATGGTTGTTTTGATCTTATAATTGGTTTTTCCTTACCCACTTTTTCAAAACTTCTGTTTTATTGAGTCAAAACCAGTCCGGAAACTATGAACTTGCTTTGAGATTTGATAGTGTTATGCTAACAATCTATGACCCTAGAGCAGACATCAGCTGAAGGCACAAGCCTAACAGAAGCTCCTACAGTGGATCGGCATGCTAGCTCAGCGAAATTTCTAAGGTAACCAAGCAATCTAGAGTTAACCTCACCCTTAATCAATCTTAATAACTCTTGTCAAGGGGATTGGCATACATGTCGACAGTTCCTTGCTTGATTTTCAATGAGATTTGTCTAAAAGTTCTCCTCTCTCTCCCATCCCAAATGGTAAGTAATGTTTATGAGAAAAGCTCAAAGAGCACAAGGAAAACAAGTAAGCATGAGGAATGCATATGTCTGTACCTTCATGTCTTATGGAATACCTTATCAAACAAGGAACAAGCTAAAGACTTATCCTGTGGTTGAAAGAAAGGTCAATAGAAAAAATAAAATGATACCCTAGAAAAGTAGGGAGAAATTGACCTTTCAAAGTTCTGATGTGAGAAAGAGAGAGGAAAGGAACTCATTGCACTTCAAAGACAATCTTGGAGAAGATCAAGTGGGTAAGAACAAGTTCAATTGATCGATGTTCCCTTGATAAAGAACTCACGCTTTAAATTTATGCAAGAGGTTAACAATAGAGAGTTTGGATTGCTGGATGAGACTAGTTGTTGGTATTGTTCGCTAAACTTGCAGGGTGTATGTGAAGCTAACCTTATGTTGACTATGTTCTTAGTGGAATACAGGAAAGGAACCTTTCACAGGATTTTCAAAGAAGCAAGGGTTCCCACGTTTTTCAAAACCTCTTCACTAGTTTAGATTCTTTTTGCTTGGGGACAAGCAAAGATCTAAGTCTGGGGGAGTTGATATACCTCTATTTTACATGCTTTTTATGCTATTTTACTATGGTTTTCTAGTGGATTCTTGTGTTAAAAGGTAGTTTTTATGGATTTATAGTGCAAAGAGTCATTTTAGGTAAAAAGGTGCATTATGGAGCAAAACAGAGATTTGGACTCTAAACCAGTTCAATGCCATCTTCTCATACATCTCTTTGCTATTTCTCTTCTGGCCATCCATGATCTGTTGGAGCATTCCTTCAAATCTCCAACCTTGTTGGTTTGGAGGAGTTTGATATGCTTCTTCACCAAATCAAGCTCCTCCAAACCAACAAGGTGGGAGATTTGAAGGAATCCTCCAACAGATCATGGATGGCCAGAAGAGGAATAGCAAAGAGATGTATGAGAAGATGGACACTTTGTTCAGCAATCTCAATACCAAGTATGATGCTGTTGCCACTCATGTGAAGAAACTAGAGACTCAAGTCACTCAAACTATGGAAGCTGTTAAGAGACAGGAAGCTGAATCCAAGAAGTCCTTTTGCAACTCAGCCGCCATAGAAGAAAGATTTGAAGATCAAGTTCCAGAATGGATGCTTTCAAAACCTACTGTTGATTGCATGATTTGGCCTGAAGAGAATTTACCCAGAGAGAGAGTCCAATCGAGCTAGAAAGAGAAGACTCTTCCCAAAGATTATCCCCAAGACTGATAACTCAGGAAAGTTTTTGTGCCTTGTATCATCAAAGGTAACATTCTTGAGCAATCTTTGTGTGACACAGGAGCCAATGTGAACATCATGTCTAAGAGGATAGCTGACAAGATAGGCCTCACCAAGATACAGCCATCATCCATCTCCATCAACTATGCTGATTCATTCTCACAAACCCCCTATGGCTTTGTGCCTAATGTGATGGTGCAGATTGGAAATTGCTCTATCCCTACTGATTTCAGATTGTGGAAATGAGAGAGAGTAGCCATAGACCTCTCATATTTGGAACCCCTTTCCTGTCTACTGTGGGTGCCATATTTGATTTCCCCAATCAAAGAATCTCTTTCAACAAGGTGAACAAGGGTATGTTCTTCCCTATGTGTTCAACAAAGAACTCTTTTGTTGACATGGTCCAAGAGGAGAAAGTTACTTTGAAGCCACCCCAAGAAGGAGAAACTGAAGATAAGTCAAGGAAGATCCCATTCCTAAGCCCAAGCAGCTTGCCAACAAGCAAGGAGTAAGACTAAGGCCCCTACACCAAAACCGCCCAAGGGATCATCCAAGATTGAAGATGAGGCCAAGCCAAGAAGAAGGTGAGAAAACCTAGGTCTGGCCGCAACATGAAGCTTCTATTCCCAAAGGAGCTTATTGATGAGAATCTAGAAGGATTCAAGGAGAAAGTTACAAGAACTCTACAACTTTTTCCTAAGGCATTTGTGCCAAGGGACATTCATGGAGAGATTGTCTATCCAGCTGTGAATCACCCACCAGATACTCATTGCAAGGAGAAAAGACTTGGAGGATCAAAGATGCCTCTAGTCTCCATCTTCTCCTGAGCGCCAAGCCTTACAGTCAAGCTAAAGACTTAAAACAAGCGCTGCATGGGAGGCAACCCATGAGGTACTTTTACTTTTCTTTCTTTAAATTTCTTAGTTTTTGTTTTGCTTTTGTGTTTTCTTTGTTTTAAGATAGGATAGAAGGAGAAAAAGGTGTGAAAACACAATCCGCGCCAAACATTGGCCGCGGACGCGCAAAAAATGTTTTGGCCGAGCAATTTCCAACCGGGCCGACCGTGCCGGTCGAGCCGGGAAGGAACAGCTTATGCTCGGCCGGATTGACTCTATCGCGCGACAGAAACCGTCCGCGCAGCACGCACGGACAGAGAAGGAACGGCCGCGCTCGGCCGGATTTTTGTATCGGAACGGACCGACCGTTATGGTCGATCCGGGAAACAAACGATCGGCCTCGGCCGAAATTCTCGTCCACACGAGATTTGGCCGACCAAATCGCACGACCGCGGCGAAATCTCTCGGCCAAGGTAAGTCCCCTTTTCATTAATTCAAACCGGTTTTAACCAATCCTAAACCAACTTAAACCGGTTTTCAATCAAAATTCGAATTTGAAAAGGAAATTAATAGGACTTGAGCTTATTTACTTTACCTTTCCCTTGAAAACAACAAGAACCTCTCTTTCTTCTCCAAAACCCTAAACTCCATTAGAGGAACTCTAAGAGCTTTGATTTCAAAACTTTTACTGTTCATAACTCTAAATTGGAATTTACTTGCTCTTGCAACCTTATTCACTTTTCAATACACAAGGTATGTCTTCTAACTCTAATCCTATGTTTATGCAAGATCGAAATTTCAATAAGTTTCTTGTTTGGTCTAAACTCTTGTCTAAACTTGAAATTACATCTTATTAGTCTTGTAATGAACTTAGCTAGGTGGAACCTAGGTGGTTTAGAGTTATTTGAAGTTTAATTTCACAATTGAATAGTTTTTCACAAAACTTATTGGGCATTCCAAACCCCTCATTCAAAGGTGAAATTGCTTAGGCATGCTTCAATTCATTAGTTTATCTAGTGATTACTTGGATTAGAAACTCAATTTCTCTTGATTTGCTAAAAATTTCGATTTTAAGCACCATAATCTTGAGATGAACAGTAAAATCCGAAATTAACTTTGAAAAGTGAAATTTCCATTTTGTTTCTTTGATATGATTAAGCCTTGAGTTGTTCATTATACCATATCATTATTACAACTCAATTAGCTTATTTTCTTTTGCATTAATCACAAACTCATGTCTCTTCCCAAGAATTTGCTCTTGTAGGTACCCAATGGCAAAGACAAAAGGAGGTGAAGTATGAAGAAGAAGAAGATCCCATTCATGCAACCACCAAGGAAACAAATCAAGCTAGGGAGTAGTAGCTCCAATGCAAGAGCAGAAATACCAACATCACCACATTCCATTGATGCAAATCAAGAACATGTGGAGAGTCCAAGAAGAGAAGATGATTGGGCACTTGTAAGCTTTGTTGGAGAACAAATCCAAGACCCAAGAGTGCAAGAAGCAATGGAGAAGGTGAACATTGAACCTTGTGTGAAGATGGACACCCCAAACCCTTGACCTTCTCAAGATAAGAGATGATGTCACATGGTATCTAAGGAAGCTTGGCTTGAGCAAGCTATTCAAGATAGAGTGCAGCGAGTACTCAATGCTAACAAAGGAGTTCCTCTCCACAGTAGCTCTTGCCTTTCCCAACCACAATGGAGACCAACCAGCTGGTGATGGACTCCTACTCTTCAAGATAGGCGATGCCAATGGGCGCATCTCCATCTCAGCTCTATGCCAACTCTTTGGACTTCCCAATGAGACAGCACATGACTTCAAGGAGAACTCAAAGAGGAAACAAGCTGCCTTTGCTGATTGGACACACTTTGCCAATGAACCATTCTTGCCTTCAAGATCAAAGGTGTCTAGAATCACTCATCCAGCCATTCGCTATGTGCACCGCCTCATCTCCACCACTTTCCAATGCAAACAAGAAGCCAACAAGGTCACAACCGATGAGTTCTACATCCTCACCACACCATTCATCAAGCATGAGTACAAGGCCAACCTTGGCCTCTTGCTTGCCAAGACACTCATCAATGTGAGGAATCTAGCTAAAGACTTGGAAGGCAACAAGAAGCTTTGTGTGCGCTTTGGGAGACTCATCACAGCCATAGTGCAACATAGAAGTTACAACCAAAAAAGTGAAGACTGGTCCAGACGGCTCTATCGAGAATCAGCGCCCAAACCGCGCAGACCGGCTGGCCGAGGAACGAACGTTTCACGCTCGGCCAAAATCACATCCGTCCGTCTGAGTCTCGGCCAAAGTCAAGATCGTTCGGCCGAGTACACATCACGACCCGGGAAGCATGTCCCGCGGTCGGCCACGCCACAACCGCTCCCGCCATGCCGCGCGAGCCGGGAAAAAGCCTCGCGGCCGCGCAACCTATCTCGCGTACCACGGCCGATGGCGCCGTCCGAGCCGGGAAGCTACGTCCCGCGTCCGGCCGAGAAAGCATCGGCCAATCCATTTCCCTCCGACCATAGCGGCCGACCACGAACCCGTCCGGCCACGACCGTTCCGATCGTACTAAGAGCGGCCATGACCCGTTCATCCGGCCGATCGTCCCGACCGACCGTCCGAACGCCGCGGTCGACCCGAAGCCCGTTTTGAAGCCCGTTTCACATATTTTTATGGCCCGGCTTAACCCTAAGCCGCCTCAAAAGACCTAGCACTATATATATAGCTTTTTAGCCTCTTGTGAAAAGAGAGCCGCCCTTGTATCACGATTTCTACTCTAAGTTTTATTGCAATCATGTTTTCTTCATCTCTATGTGTGTTTGCTTTGATCATGTCTGAGTAATCCACTAGTTAGGTTGCTAGGGTTACTAATCAATGAGTTGCTTGCATGATCTTTGATTTCAATGTTTAGCTAGGGATTATCATAGAGTCTTTGTCTCGTCTTGTGCACTTAACTAATGCTGATTGCTTTACCGCGCATCTAGTAATCCGATCTTAGGTTGATTTGAGCCTCGACAGTGTTGTATCATTCGCCGGACATATTCTTTGACAAGCTAGGTTTCTTAGACTGCGAAAGTTGATCTACTATAATCTAGTGAACTGTATCAGAACCTATTCATTCTAAAGCTTGATTTAATCACCTAGGGACATACCAAAAGTTTAGCGACTAGGTAGATTAACAAAGGAGCCGGAGCCTCGAAAGTGGAATGGTTTTATATTCGTGATCTGTGTTCTAGACGGTTCTTAATATCCCAACATCCCTAATCAATTCATCTATCATTGTTTCATTGATCATTGCTTGCTTCTCTGCGATTAGCCCCTGTTGACCTAGCGTTTCCTCCTTATTGTTTACAACCTCGTTATACTTGCTAGTTCGGTTCACCATTACAACCTCAAACCATACTTTTGTTTTATACTTTTGTTTTGGTAAAACCTGACTCAACATCAAGTTTTTGGCGCCGTTGCGGGGACTGCAGCAGTACCTTTCTCCTAGGATCTTTACTTGTTTTTGCTTTTGGAATTTTTAGTTTTTGATTTCTTTTTCTTTGATTTTTGCTTTTGCATTTGTTTTTCCCTTTTGATTTAGTTTGTTTCCTAGAATCTTTTCAGGTGCATGACTAGGAGGTCCAACAAGGACAACCTAGTTGAACATCCAGAGATAGACAAGCTCGAGAAGTTACTTAGGAAGCAAAAAGCCCAAGAGATGGCCGACGAAGCAGCTCGCGCTCACGCCGCTGAAGTGGCGCGCGCCAATGAAGAAGGACGAGATCCGCCTCCTCCTCCTCCTAATCCACAAGACCCTGCTGGAGATGTGAATGTGCAACCTCAAGCAGGAGTCCAAACAATCGGAGACTATGACTCTGCCGATGCTTTCTTCACGGATAGAAACCCTATCCATCCACCACTTCCTGCAAGGAATGACTATGAGATCAAGCCTCAGATCATAGCATTGGTTAGACAGAACCAATTCAATGGCCTTCCAGCCGAGCATCCCTCTTGATCACATAGAAAACTTTGAAGAGATTTGCAGCACTACAAGATCCAATGGAGTCTCAGCTGACTACTTGAAGTGCAAGCTCTTTTCATTCTCTCTTGGCGACAAAGCTTCAAGATGGTTGAAGTCTCTGCCAGCTCACTCCATTACCACTTGGGATGAGTACAAGGCCGCTTTCATCAACCACTTCTACACCAAGCAAAGATCAGTTTCTGTAAGGAACAAGATCTCCAACTTTCGCCAAGCCAACAATGAATCTTTCTATGAGGCGCTAGACCGATTCAAGGAGTACATTAGGGACTGCCCTAATCATGGTTTCAATGAGGGAAACCTATGGAACATCTTCTATCGTGGCATAGACCACAAGTACAAGCTTTCATTGGACACTGCAAGCAATGGAAACTTCATGACCAAGACTGTTGATGAAGCTAAGGTTCTTATTGAGAATCTTGCAGCTAGTGATTGTAACAATTGTCCTGATTATGACCGCTCAAGCCGCACCACTACTAGCTCCCCTGATTCTTTTCAAATGACTGAACTCAAGAACATGATGGCTCAAGTTCTTAAGGGACAGCTCAAGCATATCAATGCAATAGAAGGGATGAGTGATGCGAATGAAGACCCATCAAGAGAATGCATGGGAGATTTCTCTAATGAAGCCAATGAAGAAGATGTGAACTACATTGGAAACTATGGGAACAAGGGATACAATCCAAGCTATCGCCCAAACCCCAACATGTAACACCCCCGACTCGATCTATACACATAGACAAAGCCGGTGAGCGTCACAATTTGCCGAGGTTTGCTGGATAGGCCGTCCCGGACGAAGAACACATCACAGTCCAGGTCAGCCCGTCCCGCGAGCTCGACCCTCTTGGCCACGGCCTAAGGATTTTCAACCCGTACCAAAGCCGAGAGTTGTGTTAGCCCGGACAAAGCTAATATCAGATGAAACCAGTTGATATAGAAAATAAACTTTATTAATCTATATAAGGTTTCACAAAACATCGGAAATACATCACATTCGAGCCTAATGCCCAAAACCCACACTACATAAATTCAAACTACGCCGGCGGCCAAACGTCCTTGCTCCAACTACTGGTTTCCTGCAAAAGAGAGTGGGGGGGTGAGCGCTAATCGCTCAGTGAGTTGTAGCTCCCACTAACAAGCAATAATAATCCCAACCCAAAAACCCAAAATAACACACAACAAGCAATGTTGCTATAACCCCTAGACTGACCGCACAACAATCAAACAAGAACATGCACGATCAATCAGAGATTATAAACAACAACAATCAATCAATGCTCAAACATGCAATAAATAAACTTAACATCACACTCAACCACTTTCTCTTTTGCGCGTTCGGTACTTCCCGTGAACACCTATCTCACAGCCACACAGGCACGCGAGATAGAACATCACTACCCGAGTTCCATCTCCCAGACAGTCACATCCCGTTGGATCGCCGTTTCCACGGTTCACAACCCAACGAGTTCTGTCTCCCAGATGGTCACGTCCCGGGCTGTCTATTCCATACTCGGCCATAGGCAGCAACCCCGTCTCTCCGAGTATTCTCATTAGTCAATCCATTGACTACATGAGGTGGAATAGTACTCGGCCATAGGCTGCTATCCCGTCTCTCCGAGTCTTCCCACCTAGCCAGTCCATTTGCTAGGAAGGGGTACCAAAGAAGACCGAACCGCCAACATCAACATCAAACAAGTAACCATGTAACCTCACATGTAATATAATAACAATAAACAAGATCTAACAAACAAGCAAGCATCATAACAAAGAACCACACAATCAAAGCAATCAATCAAACAATCAAACAATCAAAGAAATCAATCAATCACACAATCTAGCATTCCCTAGCAAGCAATCAAACATCACCACAACTCACAATCAAACTATCAATCAATCAAGCAATCTAGCATTCCCTAGCAAGCAATCAAACATCACCACAACTCACAATCAAAGCAATCAAGCAATCGCACAATCTAGCATTCCCTAGCAAGCAATCAAACATCACCACAACTCACAGTGCTTTCGGCTGAACAGTTTCTAGCCTAGGTTTACTACTTCTGGGTTTACCGCTAAACCGCCGGCTTGCCCTAAGCTTCTGCCCTAACGCTCCCTCTCTTCTTCTTCTTCTTCTTCTCTTTCTTCTTCTTCTCCTCCTCCTCCTCTTTCTTCTTCTGCTTCTTCTGGGCGTCCTCCCTCTCACTCTCTTTCTCTCTCTATTTTCTCTCTCTTTCTTTCTGATTTTTGGTGTGGTTTGGAAATGAGGCTAAAGGCTCCTATTTATAGGCTTGGAGGGAAGCTGGTGGTGGAATCTCCTTGCTTCAGGACGTGACACCTCTCCTTTACATGCAACCAATGGCGTGAAGACATTCCTCCAGCAGCTTGGACCAATCCCTATCCTTCCATGACAATGGCACCTTCCCATTGGTCCATTTTCTAAGCTGTTGGGTAGCTGCACGTGATTGGTCCATACAAGATGACCATCTCCTCCTTGATCCTATCTTCCTGGAATGAGTGGCTTCATCCCATTGGCTCCTTCCTCAAGTTGCTGGGTGCTTAGACATGATTCGTCCAACACATTTTCGTCCATTATGAGCAGCTGAGTGCTCACACTTGATTGGTCCAGCACAATTTCGTCCTATGTAGCTGCTGGTGTCGCCTCCTTACTGGTTTAGACTATTCTTATCATCTCCAAGTAGCTGGTGTTGTCATCCCATTGCTCATCCGCCTCTTTCCTTTCGAGGAGGGTTTCATACGTTTCCTCTTCCGGAGGGTTTCGTCCCCGTCGTGCTTGAGAATTAAAATTTCCTATTTTAAATGTTTTCGTCAGTTCCATGCTTTTGAGTTTTCACTTAGCTGCTCGGAAATGTCCGGAAATTCCTTATCCCGGCCATACCGTTCTTGAAACAGCTTTATCTTTTCTTCGTCTTCAGAGTTGATCATCCCATCCGGACCATTGGGATTGGGATTGTGCGGGAAAAATTGAACTTTATCTTTATTTTTTCTGGGACCTAACTCTACATATCCTGTGATAGTGAATGTTGATCTGAACAATGTTGAACTTGCTTTGCTTCTCTGTGAGCTTAGAAAGTATAGAAAAACTATAGGGTATTCGCTAGATGACATCCCTGGAATTTCTCCTGATCTTTGCATGCATAGAATACATCTAGAAGATGAATCGATGACTTCTGTAGAACATCAGAGGAGGTTAAACCCGAATCTAAAAGATGTTGTCAAGAAAGAGATAATGAAGCTTCTAGATGCTGGTGTAATTTATGCTATATCTGATAGTAAGTGGGTCAGTCCTGTGCATGTAGTTCCTAAAAAAGGTGGCATAACTGTTGTTAAGAATGATAGGAATGAGCTGATACCCACTAGATTTGTCACTGGTCATCGCATGTGCATTGATTACCGCAAACTGAATGCTGCAACTCGCAAAGATCATTTTCCTCTCCCATTTATTGATCAAATGCTTGAGAGATTGGCTAACCATCCATACTACTGCTTTTTAGATGGTTATTCAGGTTTCTTGCAGATCCCCATCCACCCAGACGACCAGGAGAAGACGACATTCACATGTCCATATGGCACTTATGCATATCGCAGAATGCCGTTTGGATTGTGCAATGCACCGGCGACGTTCCAGCGCTGCATGTGATACCCCGTATCAAGACCTAAAACATCCCAAAGGCCGGGATGGGAAGATCAACACTCTTGGATTGGAAGACAAAGACATGGGATCTAATACAGAGATCACAACGAAGACTTGGATCAAGACATGATCAAGAACGAACGAGCAGAAGTGAAGATACAGCAAGATTGTCCAGGTGGGACGATCATTGTACGAACATGGGAAGAGTCGACAGGACGACGAAATATCAAAGTTCTCCAAATCAAGAAGAGAAGAGTTTGGACGACATAAGAAACCATTCTAAGAAGTTTGGTCGAAGCAGAATGCAAATCGGACGAGCAAATTGAGAGATTGGACGAACGCCCAAGATCTATCCCGCAACGACTACAAGAAACGTAAATGTTCGGGATGGAGGTATTCCGCACATTTCCAAGCAACTATGTGGAAGCTCAGAAACATGGAAATGAGAGAAGGATTAAAATAGGAGATTTTAATTCTCAAACTTGACGGGGACGAAACCCTCCAGACAGGGAAACGTACGAAACCCTCTGGACGAGGAAACGTACTTTTGGAGCAATCTTGCTCTAAGCCAATCAAGTGGTGACACCATCTACTTGAGGAGGATAAAGATGGTCTAAAATAGTAAGGAGGAGACACCAAGGTACTCAGATGGAGCCAAAACCGTTCAGTCAATCACGCAGAGACATTGAGCTGTTGGAATGGGACGAAATTGTGTTGGACCAATCGTGTGTCAACATCACCTGATGGGAGAGAGTGAGGCCGTGGATAAGCATTGTGATTGGATTATCTTATCCAAAAATGAACGAATCAAATGGAGATACCCAGCAGCTTGGAGAATGGACCAATGGGAAGGTGCCATTCGATCCAAGTGGATGGGATGGGAGAAGCAGCTGCAGGCGTGCCTCAACGCCATTGGTTGCATGCAGAGGAGAGGTGTCACGTTCTGAAGCCCTCAGACGCCACCTCCAGCTTCCCATAAACCTATATAAAGGCCCCTTCAGCCTTCATTTCAACTCACACCAAAACCTGAAAATCTAGAGAGATAAAGAAAGAGACAGAAAGAGAGAGGAAGACAAGAAGAAGAAGAAGAAGAGAGAGAGGAGAGAAGAAAAAATGATGAAGATGAAGAGCAGAGCATCATCAAGCATCTCCAAAACAGAGCAGAAGGATACCTAGCTATTGAGCCTAGCAGAGTATAGATTTCCTCATCAAACCAAGAAGTCAAGCTTCTACACTTCCAAGACTGGAAGCAATGCAAAGACCATCACCACCTACTGAAGAAGAAGATACTTGGCAGTATGATCCCATTGATCCCAACAAGATAAGCCCCATGAAGCTTAAGGAGTTCAATGCTAAGGTGAAATCACTTCCATTCTATGTCACTTTTGAAGAAGCTTGGGATAAACATGGTCTAGTGGAGTTCTTTTTCACAACTAGTGAAAACAAAGAAGAGATACACCAACTTTTCAGGAAGGCACGATTTCCCCTTGCCCCTCATGCAGTCAATCAACCACCATCACCACCATCATCACCACCACCCAAGTGGTATGTCAATTCCATATCAAGAGAGAAGCTTGCTGAGTTCAACCAGTTTGTCCAAACTCTTCCAGCCAGCATGTCTTTCCAAACAAGCTTGGCGCCACTACCCATTCACCACCTTTCTTCCACAACTGCAAGGAGACACCTGAGGACATAAAGAGCTTTTTGAGAAAGCTAAAGTTCAGCCTACCTTCAAGACCCTCTACAAGATTGAAGACCCAGGTCAATTCTCTATTCCCTGTCAAGTAAATGGTCATTACTTTGATAGAACACTATGCGATTCTGGCTCTTGCATAAACCTCATGCCAACCCAAACCGCCAAACTCCTTGGCATCACACGCTTGCAACCTGCTCAAATTAGTATTGGACTTGCTAACCATACTATAGCCAAGCCAAGAGGAGTTGTTGTTGATGTTCTTCTAGAGATTGGAGATATCAAGATCCCGGTGGACTTTCATGTCATAAACATTCAAGGAGGATGTGACACACCATTGATACTAGGCCGACCCTTTTTGGCCACTGCTGGAGCTGTCATGGACCTTCCAAACCGGCGAATGTCCTTAGCCAATGTTGACAAGACAGTCTTTTACAAGACCATACCATTCATCTCACCAAACAAGCTGTCTTACCTCATCACTGCCCAAGGCCGCCCAAGAGAGCCACCAGACCACACTCAAGGTCACAATGAGACAAGAACTAAAAGACTATGTCTCAGGCCGTGCCCTTACCCCATCTCCAACTAAGAGATCCTATCAGTCAAGCTAATGACTCAAAAGAAGCGCTGCATGGGAGGCAACCCATGAAAGGTGTTTTTCTTTACTTTTCTTTTCAATTAGTTTTAGTTAATGTCTAGTTTTGTTTTGAGTTTTGGATACAGGAATCTAAGAACCACACAATGGTAAAGAAGATATACCACAAGAAGAATGTCATAGTTGGCGCGACTTGATGGCCGAGCAGAACCTCTCCACGCTCGCCCATGTCCTCTCAAGCCGCCCAACACACCATCCCATCTCATTCCATCTGCATCTCACCCATCCCACCTCACCACACTTGCATTCCATCACTACCATCATTCCACTGCATTCACCATTCTTCAAGTAACACAAATCAGGTTACATCTTTCTTTTTACATTCACAACCACTTTATTACCTCTTTCTTTAACTCCCTTAATTGGATTTTCTTTCACCGGGACTGTAACACCCCCGAACCGTCCTAGGCACAGACGTTCCGAAAAGCGCCACAAAATGTCGATGTTCGCCGAATAGGCCATCCCAGACTAAGAACAAATCAGAGCCCAGGTCAGCCCGTTCCACGAACTCGACCCTCTTGACCAAAGCCTAAGGCTTGCCAACCCGTACTTCGGTCAGGAGTTGTGTTAGCCCGGACCAAGCTAATATCATTGGAACATAAGGTCTTTACATAAAACTTTCCTTTATTAAAATATCAGAGTGCTTACAAAATCCGACTTAAAAACATGCGTATCGATCCTTAGTTCCAAACCAAACAACAAACCATAATTTTACAAAAACATACCACAAAACTATTCTGGCGCCTACTGCCTGCAGCGGTCCGCTCTACTTCACACCTCTACGGTCACCTGAAAACATTAAACAAAAGGAATGAGTAATCTAATATTACTCAGTGAGTCTAGGACCTCTATACAAGGGGGATTCCCTAAACTCCAAACACAAACGCCGCGGGCTTGTAATCCCGCCTCCACCTGCATTGAGGTTAGTACACCACAACCTGCATAACTTATGCAATCACATGCAATATCTATGCACTCCTAGACAAGTATTGCTATACTTGTCTCCTAAACACAAGTACCCCTGTACTTGGCTCCTAAATGCAAGTACTCCAGTACTTGACTCCTCACTACACACACCACTGCTTCACCGGTGAAACCTCTAATTGGTGTACCAAGGGAACTCATTACACGCACACGCGAAGCACCGCGCCAGGAAACACACAGTAACCCGACCGGCCCTCACTCATCGACCTGACCTCATTGTTAGTCGGATCATACCGTCGTATGATATTAACTCGGCCCTAGGCTGCAATCCCGTCTCTCCGAGTTCTTCCCACACCGTTGTAATAGGCTGGGGCACCTCCTAACAATCGCACATGAAAGGAGTTGTGCGTGAATGTCTTGACTACACCACCCTAACCACACATGAATGTCTCACTATATTCCATATGAATGTCTCACTACATTCATATGGACCTGGCCCCGCTTATGGTTACACCATAAGTGCCGGTACTAGCATATGGGCTACGCCCTAATATACTTGTACCCCCGGTTCTGAGGCAGAGCTCTCCCTTACGTGAAAGATTACTCGCAAGCAGAGCTTTCCCCGCGTGAAAGGTTACCAACCAGAACCTCCCCAAAATAGATCTGATGGCATAGCCATCCAGATCCTCAACACACCGGAGCCATACTCAACACATGGGCCTTTAAGCGCCACCATGTTAGTATGCACTCGAGGTTTAGCGGCATAGCCGTGCTTTAACCTCACAACCGATGCATCTCTATGCACCTACATCACATGAGATCTGGTGGCATAACCTTCCCCGAAGGTTACCCAACACAACCTCACACAACTAAAGAGATTTGGCGGCATAACCTTCCCCGAAGGTTACCCGACACAACCTCACAACACAAGCCACAATCTCACAACAATGCAAACCTACATAAACACCTAAGAGATTTGACGGCATAACTTCTCTCTTTAGAAGATTACCCATCACAACATCACTACAATGCAAACCTGCATATAAACACACAAGAGATTTGACGGCATAACTTCTCTCCCTAGAAGGTTATCCATCACAACCTCACAACAATGCAAACCTGCATATAAACACACAGGAGATTTGACGGCATAACTTCTCTCCCTAGAAGGTTACCCATCACAACCTCACAACATATCATATTACATAAATTTCTGCAGCATAACTCTCCACAATTTTTACTAAACCTTATTTTTTAGAGAGTTATACCACATACTTAATAAACAATATGAACAGAAAGCATCTCCTATGCTTTGGTGTTCATACAACCTGCATACACATGTATAGATCCAAAAA